TGAAAATCCAACCATCCCAATCACATTCATACGTTCTTCATGCAAGGGTGGTTAATAGCTTCTTTTTCAATGCTGCCCGCAGCAATTAAAAGCAGGGAGCATTATATCTCTTTATGCACTGATATACCTTAATATAGAAGATGCCAGTGAACAGGGTTGGTGAAACAAGATATGAGTCACATTAGTAAAAACGCGTATTATCCGCGAATTGTATGGACAATCGTATAATTCGCGTATAAAACGTGCGTATATGTATTTATAAAATATGCCATATATTCGCGTATAATAAGTTTTCCCGTATAATTCGCGTATAATTCGCGAATTTTTGAAAAAGAAAAACAAAATCTCACCCCCCAAACGACGTCGTTTTGGTGGTTTTTACAAAAAATTAAAACAAATCTCGTTCAGTCGTTCTTCTTCAGTTCTTTGGCATCAGCAGTTCTTCTTCCTCAGCTCAGCTCAGCTCAGTGCTGGTGGGAGAATCCGATTGAGAGCTTATTCAGATGAGGAGGCTTCTCAGGCTCAGTGCTGGTGGAGAATCCGATTGAAGACCTTAGTTTGCCACACTTGAGCAGTTAAACGGCGCTAGGAGCTGAACAAGAATGTGGCAAAGCAAGCTGAGAAGATTATGATCCAGAATTCCATATAACCAAAGATTTAACAAAATTATCACCTCCCCATTTATTCCACACAAAATAATAAACTCAAGCTGAAGCCTAGAGCACCAAACTGAAATCTACAGCACCAAACACCCACAAAAACTCAAACCTTCCAACAGCAAAATTTTACGATTTCTTCCAAACAAAGATTTTCCATATAACCAAAGATTTAACGAAATTACACCTCCCCATTTGTTCCACACAAATTCATCCTCCATCTCTATTTGCATAGTCATAAAATCGAAAAAAAAAATGAAAAAAGAATTAAAACCCAGTCCTATAAACCCATAATCATGAAATATTTTCCAGTTATGAAGAGAGTAACTGTTTGGCATTTTCTAAAAGAGGATAGAAGAAGGGGATTTGGAGGATAGAACAAAGCTCGATTGTGTTTTTGTGGTGTTGATTTGAATAAAATGGTGTCAATTTGTGATATGTCTTTTATATTTTGTGTTGACTTGGGTTTGTAGCAAGGTTGTGAGGGGTGTGGTGTGACGGTGAGAAGTGAAGTGGGTGGGTTGGTGGTGCTATGCTGGAGATGCTGTGAGTTAAGGTGTTGGGCAAAAGGAGCAAGGAAATTGGAGGTGGGCCGGAGCAGCGGAGGGGAGGTACTGGGAGGCGCAATGAAGAGAGGAGAAGTGGGGGAGGACTGGCTGTTCGGTGGTCAGGGGTGTTGCCACTAGTTGCAACCTGGCCGACGATTTGTTTGTTTGAATTTTTATTTTTTTATGTTTCTGGTTAATTTTTGAGTTAAAGCGTTTTAGAATCATAAAGATTAGGGAGGATATTAGATGTTTTTAAGGGTTATAGGGTGAACAAGAGGGACGAGGCTAAGAACTTTGTATATTAAATTTTGATTTAGGGAGAATATTAAATTTTTATGCATAATGTTAATTGATCATTTTGCCCTCACTTGTAACGGAGTTTTGATCATTCAACTCTTCTTTATAACAAAATTTTATTTGTTTGGAGCTCTTATTCGACTTTGAATTTTGATTTTATTATGACTTATGTGTTTAATTTGACACTATAGTTGAATCTTGGCTAAATATTGTGTTTGAGTTTGGAGACTATAATTTGAATATCAGTTATATATTGTGTATTTGTGTTATTGATTAATTGAATACTTTGCTTTTAACCAGATAGTCTATAAAAGTGTTAAAACTAAGCTTGATATTGCCGTATTTTTCAAAACGTATTATTGACAATACACCATATTAAACCCGTATATACCTGTACCGTATTTTTCCTGTATCCGAATTTTATGGCCGAATTTTTATAAACGTATTTTTTACCATTTGCCGAATTTTATGGCCGTATTATACCCGTATAATTCCCATACCCTTTTTTTGCCGTACCCGTATTTACTAACGAGGTATGAGTCCATTCAACCAAAAACACTGCAGTAAACATAATCTAAGCTTTTTCCAAGCCAAAAACACTCAAAAGAGATAAATTTCTTTGAAGTGGCTTTTAAAAGAAAAATTACAAATCACAATTGCAGGTTGTTATTTGACAACACGTTGGGAGGATTTTGACGTGAGATAATGCAAGAAATCACAATCGCAAATTGTGAACACTTCTATATATCAATCACACAAACCAGTCCCACCAAATTAACTGGATTTCTCTTTATCAACTCAATTCAAGAAATCACAACACAAATAATATTCCACCCCAACTCCATTCAACACAAATTTCAAATCCAACACATTAATCCAACATAAAAAAATAAAAAAATTGAGAATTCGGTGTGACTAATTACCTTACAATAATAATGGCAGATGAGAAACTTGAAGAAGAATCATGGTAGATGAGGATCTTCAACAAAGAAGAAGAGCATGGCAGATGAGAACTTCGAAGAAGAAGAAGAGCGCAGATGAGGAATGAAGACGAAGAAGAAGAGCAGAGATGGGGAATGAAGACGAAGAAGAAGAGCAGAGATGGGGAATGAAGACGAAGAAGAAGACCGAAGAAGAAGTGACGGTGTTTTAATTTTAAAAACTTCCCCCAAATTTGTTTTTAACCTAATTTTTTTCACAAAAATTTACAGTACGAACGCCCGTCTAAAAATGAAAGATGGCCATTCATAGGTTATGGATGACCGTCCATAAGATATGGACGAGCATCCACACATAATGGACGGGTGTGCGTTATATGTGGATGCCAGTCCACACGTTAGGGACGCCCATCCACAAGTTAGGGACGTCCGTCCAAAATTTTGTTTTATTTTTTTAATTTATATTATGTACAGGCATCCCTTATTTGCGGACGTCCATCCAAAATTAAGGGACAACTGTCCATAACTGATGAACGAGTGTTCCTAAATTTTTTTATTTTTTTAAAAGCATTAATAATGGACCGACGTCCATTAACATATGCATGCCCATCCTTTATTTATGGACGGTCGTCCATAACCTATGAACGACTGTCCATTATTTTTGTTTATATTGTTTTTTCCATTTACTGATGAACGGACGTCCTTTAAATGTAGACTCTCGTTCATAGTAAATGGACTCCGGTCCATATAATATGGACGGGAGTCCATGGTAAGTGATAGGCTATTCGCAAGTGTACGAAATCGTGCAAGTAGTAAAACTCNGCTTTTTTTTTTTCTCCTTAAATTATACAAGAATTTTCTGGGCAATAAAGTGAAAAAGTCACATAATTTCTCCTCTTTTTCTCTCGTCACATACTCTACAAAGAAGAAACCAAGAATCTTCTATGTTGCTTCGCAAATAACTTCTTATTAAAATTTTTGCTTCATCGATCCAACCCTTCCCCCACGCGCCTCCCGCGCTTTTTATTAATTTTGACTTAGACTTAATAATCAACGGTCTTCTTTTCTTTTTCTTTTCGTTCTTCTAACTTCGTTACTACTTTGATGAATATAATTAGAAGTTGTTCTATATATGGCAGCTAAATATACGTACAAAGTGATTAGAAATAGTTGATTTTTGTGGTATAAATATACGGAGTTTTGTAGAGAAAAGGTCAAAGGTTAAAATGGTGGTGATAGAGAGAATTTTTACTGTCGAAATTGGTTTTGTGTAATAACAAAATATTAATTTTGGATGAAAAAATAGTATTTTAAAACTTTTTTGATAAAAAAGTGTCATTAAAGCCAACTTGCGTGGAAAAAGGTTGTTTACTCGCATAATAATAAGAAGTTCACTAGAAATTTCAAAATCGACGAAACATTGTACTGTTTTCTATGAAGACCCGAAAGTTATTTTTAATCAAACAATTTTGCAAACGCGTTTTTTGTGGTCAAAGTGGGCTACTAGTCAATGATTTCAATTTGGAAAATTATACAGTCACTTGACGGTAGTGCACTAAATGATGTGACAAAATCTTGACCGTTAATTAATTTTAATTTAATATTAATCAATGGTCAGAATTTTATCACATCATTCGGTGCATAAATTCGGTGCATTACTCCTTCAATTTAGCCCTCTTCATTGACTTTTCAATGAATCATGATTGATTAAAAGATTAACAATTTGCAATATAGATTTCGTTGAAAATTTGTGTTGAAAGAAAGTTTATATTATTGTACGAAGAAAATATTGCTTTGTAAAACTCAAAAAATAAAATTAGATTGCTGACTATTATAATTATAATTATTAATAGGTGAATAAAATAGAATGTTTGTCAAACGAAAATCTAATTATTTAGTTGGAAATTTTAATTTGGCATGACTGTCTAAGCTGGTGAGACTGAGTTTTAAAAAGGCAATGTGTCAAAAGTGAGAATATCCAAGATCCATTGAACACCCTACAAACCCAAAAAACCCAACAAACCATTATGTTAAAACTAAAAAAATAAAAAACCCAACAAACCATTATGTTAAAACTAAAAAAATAGGACAAATCTTTTTTACCGCTAAACCCCTTGGTTATGGAATAACACTTTTCTTTTTCCCTTATTTCAGTAGATATGGGCTAAAACTTGTAACAATATCATCCTGTGTTGAATTATTTAGTGTGTAATATGCAGTTCAAGTTTTAAAATCTTCCCTATAGGTAATTTTCTATTAATCCTCACGCATTCAAGTCTTCGTGTTTTTAGCATATTTTATAAGTTTCACTATCACATTAATATACCAGTAAAACAATACTTTGATATTACAGATTTCACGTTGATACAATCAACGTATAACTAATTAATGTAACACATAACTAGGTTCCATACAATGGACGAAATAAGCAATTTGATTCACACACCAGCAACAAAATCCTTGCTCTACAGCATTGACAATTTGAGATGCAATCATCGCCGTATGCATGATAATGGGAAGCGAAGTAAATAGTAAATACCACAAACAGTATAATCTACTCATAATAAGCAAACACCAGAAGTTCTATGAGCTACATTCATAATAAGTAAACGCCACAAACATTATGATCTACATTCATAACAATCGTATCTGGCTCATGAAGTATGAATTCAACTTGTTTAGCAAAGCTCCCCAGCACGAGCAGCACAAAAAGCTACAGGATTAAGAAACGTCACTGCCCTAGAGAACAAAACCATCCCAAACATCCATTTGCGTCTCCTTAGTTCTAGTCGCAACCGAGACTCAATACATCAATACATTCAATTTCAAATGTTTCATCAATCCCTTGAAAGAGCACATGAAAAATTAACAAATAGCATCACCTAGAACCACGTGAGTACCTCCTTACTGGGCTACCGTAAGGGGAATGAGGCAGCGACCTGGATCTGTCCCTCCTGGATCTTCCACCGTGAGGAGAGTGCACAGGAGAATAATCACGACCTCCTCGATATGGTGAGCGCCTAGGAGACCTACGATACCCATAATCATCACGGCTAGAACGATACCTACTACCACGATCACCACGAGAACCTTTCACAAATGCAGGAAGCAAATTTACCAGTAAACAATTCAGTTAGGATGCCCATTGAACCAATGAATCATTCCAAGGATGGAATATCATAAACATATTATACTCACCATGACCATAGTCCCTACTACTTTTCAGCCCAAGATAGTGTCCAGGTGTTGGAGTTCTAGGACGTTTCCTCCGAGACTGAAAGATAAAAAAAATCACCTCTATAAAATTATCCATTATAAAATTTTACTTTAAATAACGACTGAGTAATGGTAAGGAACACGATCAGGCATCATTTCCACAAGTAACATTTGATAAGTCATCCTCAAAAACAAAATGAAAAATCTTCATTAGGAAAATTCCAAATATGGGAGAATAGCCTAGCTACCGAGGAGGGAATAACAAAATATCTAGACACACAACTATTGCCCACTAAATGAATGCAGGTATGAAATACCATAAAATCCTGATTAGAAACTTGTTGCTAATGTCCGTTGATTAGTTGATAGAGTTGAAAGTGAATGCTGAGGTTGTATAGTTGTTGGGCAAAATAGTTGCTATGTTTAGTTGATCACATGCATTTGAAAAGCTGTTTAAGCTGGCCATTGATCAAGCTGTTTCACTAAAGTTGACATGGATGAACTCATCATCTTTGATTGCTGCCAACATAGCTGATGCAAGGTGTTCTGAATATAACCAGAAAACCTCCAAGTTAAGAAGAAAGATAACCAATCAAAACTGGTTAAGTTTACCACCAAGGGTGAAATCACATTACCCTCTCTACAGTGATATATCGCCCCTCGAGAACTGACTGGTTGAGATACTTAATGCAACGGGTGGCATCCTCAACAGAGTCCATTGTGACAAAAGCAAAACCTCGAGAGATGCGCGTACGGGGTTCCACAACAAGAAAACATGAAGCAACCTGAACACAAAAGCTAAAATAAATTATAGAAGAAAGATAGGACATAATCCGTTCAAATAGACCAAGAAAACAATTAGGAAAAAAATCCAATCAATACTAAGTTTTGTGTAAAAAGAAAAACCTTTCCCTCCTTCGAGAAATGCTTTTCGAGTTCCCTTTCTGTGACTCTTGTAGATAGGCCAGTCACGTAAAGTGTGTTTCCAGGATTAGTAATATCAACCCTGCCAGATCATTAAAAAATAAGAGTAACAGAGAAACAAGCCATCATGTATGCAGGACTTTAGAACGGTATCAGAACATCAGGCATGGCAAGAAAAGCTAAAACAGAAAATATAAGTGTGGTAGGCATCAGCACAAAAAAAACTAACCTGCCACGGCTTCTGGACCTTGATCTGGATCAGAGAACATTATCCACATGAGAAGAACATTCACAAAATATCAATGTCAGATATGGCAGAAACAGGATTGAACAAGTATCATGACTATAAACCTAAGCCAAACGACAAAACTTCCACGACTTCGGGACCGTGATCTCTGCCTTGGCCTAGACCAGGATCTTGACCTAGACCTAGACCTTGATCTGGATCTAGACCTAGACTGTTCTCTCAAAGGGGAAGGCGACCGCATAATTCTGATACAGCCACAGCATTACACATCAAAACAGAGGAATATATATATACGTCAAAGTGAGCAAAGATAACTTTAAAGAGCTTCATTTTAAACATAGTTACACACACACACACACACACATATATATATGTGTGTGTGTGTGTGTGTGTGTAACTATGTTTAAAATGAAGCTCTTTAAAGTTATCTTTGCTCACTTTGACGTAGCAAATTATCATAAAAGCATACTTATAACATTTAAAGCAACCTAAAACAAACATTTATAAATTTCTTCAACAAGCCTACTTCAAAATTATCCAATTTGAAATCAGGCGACAGTTTTGCTATATAATTCTCGCGCATAAAAATACTCAGAATGAGCAATTTTCAACTTAAAAAAGGACAATTAATCTAAAAAATATACTACACCGATCCAATTCGAATTCCTCAATCGAAAGAAAAGTAAACATGCTCCGAGCGTAAACCAAAACATAAAATATAAACAAATAAATCTTGAATGAAGACTGACAAAATCAATACGATTTTCAGCTACGAGAAATGGATTTAGAGCTTACTTTTTGCGAGGAGAATCAGCCTGTGGAAAATGAAGAAGCAATCAGATTTCAAGTAATTACAGGTTGAACTACTGAGAAATTAAACTTATATGAATACATTATGTAGTCAAGAAGTTAAGGATTGAAATTAAAGATATGCTCAGCTTCCGTTATTTAAAAAAAAAAAAAAAAAAAAAAATTCATCTTTTTCTCTCTTCACATAGAGAGAAAAAAAAATAAAATAAGACCCTTCCAAGCTGTTTCATCCTAACCTTTTATTAAAGCTTCTACTTCATCTATGATTACATTTACCCTCTGGGATGTCGACTTCTAAGTCCTAGTATTTTAAAAACTAGCATATACGCCTCAAATTCTATTTGACATTAAAAGCGTAAGGGCGAACAAAGTAGTCACACACCAAACATTACATTTATAAAACAAATATTAATTAAACCTAAAAGAAAGCACAACTGCAGCGACTGGTCTAATCACTAGACGAGATGAACTAACAAGATCGATGATATATTTTTCCGCAAGAGATTACGGAACGAAATTAATTCATATATACCAGCTGGTTTAAAAAAATAATAACTGTATGCTTCTAATAAATTAATTATGTCAAATTAAAAATAGAAGAGAGAGAAACTTACACAATATTGATGAGTAAGTTTGATATAAGAGCTTCAAAGAAAGCAATTAGTTGTGTTTTCAATGGGAAGGAAGAGGAGCTTTCTGTGTTACAAAGTGATGAACTCTACAAGTTCTTCTCTTACTTATACTCTCTTTTACTTTCTCTACAGAATATACGAGAGCTTCCCACGTAGTTTCGCAATAGCTTTCATTAAGTCTGTTTTTGGTGATGGCGATGGTGATTGAATATTCAAATAAATTTGGAAATGTCAGCAAGAAACGTGTGGTGCAGTCCGTGACCACTGCCTGCACAAAAACAAAATCTTGTGCATGAAAATCAACATCATCTTCAATTCTTCATCAGACGAAACTTAACCATAATTGTCATTGGCATGCTCGCTTTCACTTAATGGAGCCTCTTCACCTCATTCGGCTTTCACTTAATATTTCTTCCACTAGGGGGGTGTTTGTCTAAGTGGACAAATTCATCGAAAATTATGGACAATTCATAAAATTAATTTTAATAAACAAAGAAAGTAAACCAAGTGGGACACTTCACATTTCGTAAGTTGCAGCTGATAAATGATAAAAACAATTAAGAGACCATCATCCATGCATGCATGCGTCAATAATTTTACACTACTGAGTCTGACTGGTACTGTAAGATAAGTGTAGCAACATAATAGTTTTATGTAATGCCAAGCACACTAAATTATGGTTTAAATCATTAAGTTGACACATTCAGAAGCAACGTGATCAGATCGTACAGCCACACTGCATGCAAATGTGTTATCAGTTGTTGCTGCTTCAGTAGTTTAATGGTGAATATGATATAGTTTGTGATGGGGCATGACTTTTGTTGACTGTTTAGCACAACTTCTTGGACTGTGTTTGAACAACACTTTAAACCCAGTGTTGATTTCTCGATTCTTATGCCTTCAACTCCGATCATGGCGCCATCTCCTTCATCTTCTTCTCTTTGTTTGACGCTTTTCACAATCTTATCACTTCTGTTCACGCACGCAACCTGTTCGACGAATTACCTTTTCACCCTCTCTTTTACATTCCTACAGAATATACGAAGAGCTTTCCACGTATTTTCGCAATAGCTTTTATTAAAGACTGGCTTATTTTCTCTTTTTGACTTAGACTTTGATAATATATATGAAGAGTTTCCACGTAGTTTCGCAATAGCTTTTTATAAAGTCTGGTTCAGTTTCTCTTTTTGACTTAGATTTGATAATGTATATGAAGAGTTTTTCACGTAGTTTCGTAATAGCTTTTTTTTTTTCTCTCTAATTAACAAGAATTTTCTGGGCAATAATTGAAAAAGTCACATAATTTCTCCTCTTTTTCTCTCGTCACATACTCTACAAAGAAGAAACCAAGAATCTTCTATGTTGCTTCGCAAATAACTTTTATTAAAATTTTTGCTTCATCGATCCAACCCTTCCCCCACGCGCCTCCCGCGCTTTTTATTAATTTTGACTTAGACTTAATATCAACGGTCTTCTTTTCTTTTCTTTTCGTTCTTCAACTTCGTTACTACTTTGATGAATATAATTAGAAGTTGTTCTATTATGGCAGCTAATACGTACAAAGTGTTAGAAATAGTTGATTTTTGTGGTATGAATATACGGAGTTTTGTAGAGAAAAGGTCAAAGTTAAAATGGTGGTATAGAGAGAATTTTTACTGTCGAAATTGGTTTTGTGTAATAACAAATATTATTGGGATGAAAAAATAGTATTTTAAAACTTTTTATGAAAAAGTGTCATTAAAGCCAACTTGCGTGGAAAAAGGTTGTTTACTCCTAATAATAAAAGTTCACTAGAAATTTCAAAATCGACGAAACATTGTACTGTTTTCTATGAACCCGAAGTCATTTTAATCAAACAATTTTGCAAACGCGTTTTTTGTGGTCAAAGTGGGCTCCTAGTCAATGACTTCATTGGAAATTATACAGTCACTTGACAGTATGCACCAAATGTGTGACAAAATCTTGACCGTTAATTAATTTTAATTAATATTTAATCAATAGTCAGAATTTTATCACGTCATTCGTGCATAATTCGGTGCACTACTCGATGACCGTAGCTTACTCTTTCAATTTAGCCCTCTTCATTGACTTTTCAATGAATCATGGTTGATTAAAAGATTAACAATTTGCATATAGATTTCGTTGAAAATTTGTGTTGAAAGAAAGTTTATATTATTGTACGAAAAAATTGCTTTGTAAACTCAAAAATAAAATAGATTGCTGACTATTATAATATAATTATTAATAGTGAATAAAATAAATGTTTGTCAAACGAAAATCTAATTATTTAGTTGGAAATTTAATTTGGCATGACTGTCTAAGCTGGTGGACTGATTTTTAAAAGGCAATGTGTCAAAAGTGAGAATACCCAGATCCATTGAACACCCACAACCCAAAAACCCAACAACCATTATTTAAACTAAAAAATAAAAAACCCAACAAACCATTATTTAAACTAAAAAATAGGACAAATCTTTTTTACCGCTAAACCCCTGTTTATGGAATAACACTTTTCTTTTTCCCTATTTCAGTAGATATGGGCTAAAACTTGTAACAATATCATCCTGTGTTGAATTATTTAGTGTGTAATATGCGTTCAAGTTTTAAAATCTTCCCTATGTAATTTTCTATTAATCCTCACGCATTCAAGTCTCGTGTTTTTAGCATATTTTTAAGTTTCACTATCACATTAATACCAGTAAAACAATACTTTGATATTACAGATTTCACGTTGATACAATCAACGTATAACTAATTAATGTAACACATAACTGGTTCCATACAATGGACGAAATAAGCAATTTGATTCACACACCAGCAACAAAATCCTTGCTCTACAGCATTGACAATTTGAGATGCAATCATCGCCGTATGCATGATAATGGGAACGAAGTAAATAGTAAATACCACAAACATTATAATCTACTCATAATAAGCAAACACCAGAAGTCTCATGAGCTACATTCATAATAAGTAAACCCACAAACATTATGATCTACATTCATACACATCGTATCTGCTCATGAAGTATGAATTCAACTTGTTTAGCAAAGCTCCCCAGCACGAGCAGCACAAAACTACAGATTAAGAAACGTCACTGCCCTAGAGAACAAACCACCCAACCAATCCAGTCTCATCGCATATGTTATTATCTCTTCCCCTTAGAATTTTCAAAAGAAGTTGCCTTTGTAAAGTAACCAGGCCACTTTTTCTTGAAATTTCCCTGACATTGGCAAGAAAAGCACTCCCTTCAAATTGATATGAAAACAAGTCATAAAAAACTCTTGCAATTGTTGTCTTGCCTATTCCTCCCATTCCCCATATCCCTATCATGCGAATATCGTTAGACCCAGTACCTATCAGCAACTTCAGTTCCTTAAGGCGAGAATTTATTCCTACTAGGCCCTTAGAAGTCATCAATGTTGTTTGACTTAATTCAATTGATATTTTTTTGACAATATCATGTATGAGTTTTGATTCGTGCCTGCTGCAAATGAAAAAGAACAATAGTTGTGATCAATCAATGTATGAGAAAAAATTACTATATAACTTTACAAGTACCAAGAGTTCTTCTCCTTTCTTTATATAGTTTACTCTGAATTATGGGTTACTATTACTATCATATTATACACGTACGGTCAGCTATTTAAGGTAGGACCAACGTCTCTTAAACTTTGAATTGAGTAAATATAAGGACATGATTGGTAGTTAATAAAAGAGATTTTTTTATAGAATAATCAAGCAATCACCATAGTCTAATGAAAATATTGATCTTTTAATAATTGGTTAATTACAGTAAAAAATATTATGACACATTCATAAACATGAAAAAGAAAAACTATTACCTGTTTTTCACATCCCATCCAGAGAGATTGGCAACCTCTGTTACAGCATTCCTCCATATTTGAACATTTTGTTTATTGTCCTTATCATGCTTAGCAAAAGCTTGCTCAAACGTCCCTGTTTGATTCCTTACCGTGGATGGATCAACATCATAAAAAATGGGAAAAACAGTTTGTCCCATTGTTTTCTTACATTCAACCATCTTAGCAATTTCATGCAAGCACCAAGAGGAATTAGCATAGTTTCTTGAGAAGACGACAATCGAAAATCTTGATTCTTCAATTGCTCGAAGGAGCTCCAATGAAATGGGTTTTCCTCTATCAAGTTCTTCGGCATCTCTAAAAACAGTAACTCCTTCTCGAATCAAAATATCATATAGATGATCTGTGAAATTCTTCCGGGTATCTTCACCTCTAAAGCTTATAAAGACGTCATACTTCCAACGGGAAGAACAAATATGATTACCTGAAGAAGAAGTTGTTTGGATACTCATGGAAGCAATACGATTGATTGATCCAAGCTAATTTTTCCCAAGTTACACGTGTCGTCTATGCCCCCTGTTAGAACTGAAAAAATAAGGAACTAATTTCTTCTTTACCATTTATATATTTACGAGATGCATGCATTTTTCTCATATAGTTTTCAACTCTGATATTGTATAAAAGCTACTGAGAAATTAAACTTATATGAATACATTATGTTAGCAAGAAGTTAAGGATTGAAATTAAAAGCATATATGCTCAGCTTCCGTTATTTAAAAAAAAAAAAAAAAAAAAAATTCTCTTTTTCTCTCTTCACATAGAGAGAAAAAAAAATAAAAAAAAAAAAGACCCTTCCAAGCTGTTTCATCCTAACCTTTTATTAAAGCTTCTACTTCAACTAGATTACATTTACCCTCTGGGATGTCGATCTTCTAAGTCCTAGTATTTAAAAACTAGCATATACGCTCAAATTCTATTTGACATTAAAAGCGTAAGGGCGAAACAAGTAGTACACACACAAACATACATTATAAGAAAACAATATTAATTAAAACCTAAAAGAAAGCACAACTGCAGCGACTGGTCTAATCACTAGACGAGATGAAACTAAACATAGATCGATGAATATATTTTGCCGCAAGAGATTACGGAACGAAATTAAATTCAATATACTCAGCTGGTTTAAAAAATATATAACTGTATGCTTCTAATAAATTAATTATGTTCAAATTAAAAATAGAAAGTAGAGAAGAGAAACACACAATTGATGAGTAAAGTTTGATATAAGAGCTTCAAAGAAAGCAATTAGTTGTGTTTTCAATGGGAAGGAAGAGGAGCTTTTTCGTTACAAAGTGATGAATCTAACAGAGTTCTTCTCTTACTTATACTCTCTTTTACTTCTCTACAGAATATACGAAGAGCTTTCCACGTAGTTTCGCAAAGCTTTCTAAAGTCTGTTTTGGTGATGGGCGAGTGATGAATAGTCAAATATAATTTGGAAATGGCAGCAAGAAAGCGTGTGGTGCAGTCCGTGACCACTGGCCACAAAAACAAAACTCTTGTGCATGAGAAATCAACTCATCTTCAATTCTCATCAGACGAAACTTAACCATAATTGTCATTGGCATGCCGCTTTCACTTTAATGGAGCTCTTCACCTCATTCGGCTTTCACTTAATATTTCTTCCACTAGGGGGGTGTTTGTCTAAGTGGACAAATTCATCGAAAATTATGGACAAATTCATATTAAATTAATTTTAATAAACAAAAGAAAGTAAACCAAGGGACACTTCACATTTCGTAAGTTGCAGCTGAAATGATAAAAACAAATTAAGAGGACCCTCATCCATGCATGCATGCGTCAATAATTTTTACACATACTGAGTTGACTGGTACTGTAAGATAAGTGTAGCAACATATAGTTATATGTAATGCCAGAAGCACACTAAATATTGGTTTAAATCATTAAAGTTGACACATTCAGAAGCAGACGTGATCAGATACGTACAGCCACACTGCATGCAAATGTGTTATCAGTTGTTGCGCTTCAGTAGTTTAATGGTGAATATGATAATAGTTGTGATGGGGCATGACTTGTTGGACTGTTTAGACAACTTCTTGGACTGTGTTTGAACAACACTTTAAACCAGTGGTTGATTTCTCGATTCTTATGCCTCAACTCCGATCATGGCGCCATCTCCTTCATCTTCTTCTCTTGTTTGACGCTTTTCACAATCTTATCACTTCTGTTCACGCACGCAACCTGTTCGACGGAATTACCCTTTCACCCTCTCTTTTACATTCTCTACAGAATATAAGAGCTTTCACGTAGTTTCGCAATAGCTTTTATTAAAGACTGGCTTAGTTTCTCTTTTGACTTAGACTTTGATAATATATATGAAGAGGTTTCCAGTAGTTTCGCAATAGCTTTTATTAAAGTCTGGTTCAGTTTCTTTTGACTTAGACTTTGATAATGTATATGAAGAGTTTTCACGTAGTTTGTAATAGCTTTTTTTTTTCTCCTTAAATATACAAGAATTTTCTGGGCAATAAAGTGAAAAAGTCACATAATTTCTCCTCTTTTTCTCGTCACATACCTACAAAGAAGAAACCAAGAACTTCTATGTTGCTTGCAAATAACTTCTTATTAAAATTTTTGCTTCATCGATCAACCCTTCCCCGCGCCTCCCGCGCTTTTATTAATTTTGACTTAGACTTAATAATCAACGGTCTTCTTTTCTTTTTCTTTTCGTTCTTCTAATCGTTACTACTTTGATGAATATAATTAGAAGTTGTTCTATATATGGCAGCTAAATATACGTACAAAGTGATTAGAAATAGTTGATTTTTGTGGTATGAATATACGGAGTTTTGTAGAGAAAGGTCAAAGGTTAAAATGGTGGTGATAGAGAGAATTTTTACTGTCGAAATTGGTTTGTGTAATAACAAAATATTAATTTTGGATGAAAAAATAGTATTTTAAAACTTTTTTGATGAAAAAGTGTCATTAAAGCCAACTTGCGTGGAAAAAAGGTTGTTTACTCGCATAATAATAAGAAGTTCTAGAAATTTCAAAATCGACGAAACATGTACTGTTTTCTATGAAGACCCGAAAGTCATTTTTAATCAAACAATTTTGCAAACGCGTTTTTTGTGGTCAAAGTGGGCTCCTAGTCAATGACTTCAATTTGGAAAATATACAGTCATTGACAGTAGTGCACAAATGATGTGACAAAATCTTGACCGTTAATTAATTTTAATTTAATATTAATCAATAGTCAGAATTTATCACGTCATTCGGTGCATAAATTCGGTGCACTACTTCGATGACCGTAGCATTACTCTTCAATTTAGCCCTCTTCATTGACTTTTCAAGAATCATGGTTGATTAAAGATTAACAATTTGCAATTAGATTTCGTTGAAAATTGTGTTGAAAGAAAGTTTATATTATTGCGAAGGAAAATTGCTTTGTAAAACTCAAAAAATAAAATTAGATTGCTGACTATTATAATTATAATTATAATAGGTGAATAAAATAGAATGTTTGTCAAACGAAAATCTAATTATTTAGTTGGAAATTTTAATTTGGCATGACTGTCTAAGCTGGTGAGACTGAGTTTAAAAAGGCAATGTGTCAAAAGTGAGAATATCCAAGATCCATTGAACACCCTACAAACCCAAAAAACCCAACAAACCTTATGTTAAAACTAAAAAAATAAAAAACCAACAAACCATTATGTTAAAACAAAAAAATAGGACAAATCTTTTTTACCGCTAAACCCTTGGTTATGGATAACACTTTTTTTTCCCTTATTTCAGTAGATTGGGCTAAAACTTGTAACAATATCATCCTGTGTTGAATTATTTAGTGTGTAATATGCAGTTCAGTTTTAAAATCTTCCTATAGGTAATTTTCTATTAATCCTCACGCATTCAAGTCTTCGTGTTTTTAGCATATTTTAAGTTTCACTATCACATTAATATACCAGTAAACAATACTTTGATATTACAGATTTCACGTTGATACAATCACGTAACTAATTAATGTAACACATAACTAGGTTCCATACAATGGACGAAATAAGCAATTTGATTCACACACCAGCAACAAAATCCTTGCTCTACAGCATTGACAATTTGAGATGCAATCATCGCCGTATGCATGATAATGGGAAGCGAAGTAAATAGTAAATACCACAAACAGTATAATCTACTCATAATAAGCAACACCAGAAGTTCTATGGCACATTCATAATAAGTAAACGCCAAAAACATTTGATCTACATTCATAACAACGTATCTGGCCATGAAGTATGAATTAACTTGTTTAGCAAAGCTCCCCAGCACGAGCAGCACAAAAAGCTACAGGATTAAGAAACGTCACTGCCTAGAGAACAAAACCATCCCAAACAACCATTTGCGTCTCTTAGTTTAGTCGCAACCGAGAATCAATACATCAATACATTCAATTTCAAAGTTTCATCAATCCCTTGAAAGAGCACATGAAAAATTAACAAATAGACACACTAGAACCACGTGAGTACCTCCTTACTGGGCTACCGTAAGGGGAATGAGGCAGCGACCTGGATCTGTCCTCCTGGATCTTCCACCGTGAGGAGAGTGCACAGGAGAATAATCACGACCTCCTCGATATGGTGAGCGCTAGGAGACCTACGATACCCATAATCATCACGGCTAGAACGATACCTAATAACGATCACCACGAGAACCTTTCACAAATGCAGGAAGCAAATTTACCAGTAAACAATTCAGTTAGGATGCCCATGAACCAATGAATCATTCCAAGGATGGAATATCTAAACATATTATACCACCATGACCATAGTCCCTACTACTTTTCAGCCCAAGATAGTGTCCAGGTGTTGGAGTTCTGGACGTTTCCTCCGAGACTGAAAGATAAAAAAAATCACCTCTATAAAGTTATCCATTATAAAATTTACTAAATAACGACTGAGTAATGGTAAGGAACACGATCAGGCATCATTTCCACAAGTAACATTTGATAAGTCATCCTCAAAAACAAAAGAAAAATCTTCATTAGGAAAATTCCAAATATGGGAGAATAGCAGCTACCGAGGAGGGAATAACAAAATATCTAGACACACAACTATTGCCCACTAAATGAAGCAGGTATGAAATACATAAAATCCTGATTAGAAACTTGTTGCTAATGTCGGTGATTAGTTGATAGAGTTGAAAGTGATGCGAGGTTGTATAGTTGTTGGGCAAAATAGTTGCTATGTTTAGTTGATCACATGCATTTGAAAAGCTGTTTAAGCGGCATTGTCAAGCTGTTTCACTAAAGTTGACATGGATGAACTCATCCTCTTTGATTCGTGCCAACATAGCTGATGCAAGGTGTTCTGAATATAACCAGAAAACCTCAAGTTAAGAAGAAAGATAACCAATCAAAACTGGTTAAGTTTACCACCAAGGGTGAAATCACATTACCCTCTCTACAGTGATATATCGCCCCTCGAGAACTGACTGG